AAAACGCAACTATTTGAATATAACAATTGAACAATTCTTTGCTTCTTTTCTTTCTTCCTTTTAAAATATTTCTGTAAAGCGTCAATATTTATTTTATTGCGGGAAAAAAACGTGGGTCTGTTTTCTTTTTAGCGACTACAGCTCTTTTGCTTCTTTCTGTTCAGTCGATAAGTTTAAACAACAGAAAATTCTCTTTATTGCAGTTTTTTTTCTCATTTCCAAAGATTTTTGTTTCTTTTTTTTTTTCTTTTTTTAATTCTAGAATGATTTTTTTCTTAGTAGATGCAACAGTGTTTATGTATGGTTTTTCAAAAACCTGATTGCATTGATTTCAATGAAGTAAACGATTGGTGGTCGTTAAGGTGCCAGAGAGACAGCTGGGGAACGTTGGCATGAGTAAACTGGCACTGAAGTTTGTTGACATAATTGAAGCAGAGGTGTTTCTGAGTCGATTTTTCTCTGAGGAATACGATGGCCGAATGTATATCAAGCCAGATCAGCTGGAAGTCGTGAAATCAGTTGAAGTGGTCTCTGTAGTCTTCTACTGCTGGCATTTCATTTCTTGTTTTTGTTTTGCTTTTGAATAATTTTGTTAAAATTGCTAACCTTTAGCTTAGAATCGTCTTATACACTTAAAAACTCGTAAATGTGTAAAATGTATATTTTAGTCTTCGAGAACAAATCCCGTTTGGAGGTTACCAGAAAAATATGTCAAAGAGTCTATGCAGAGATTAGTGGCTCTAAAGGAGGTAAGAATTGTTTATTGCCTTTTTTCAGTCAGTTCTTGCTGTTCCTCTCAAAATGTAGGGTTTTGAGCGGTTGGAATCAACTTTTTCATCTTTGGATATATTTTGCGACGGTGAAGAGCAAAAGTCGGCATTGAAGGATACAAGTGCTTCACTGCATTTCACAAAAGCAGATCCAAAAGAAGAAATTGGACCACAATTGGTTGGTCCCACTTCACTTTCTTCGTTGCTTCCTATTCATTCTTTGTACCGAGCTCTACAGATATAAACGCATGAACTGAGGATCAATTCTCAAATAATCTGTATTTTGAAAATTTTAGAAAGTGTGCCTGGATTTGATTTTGACTGTGATTTCATCGACTATCGACTCGTGCGACGTTTGGAGCATTTCAAGATTCTTTGGTCGGGTATGTCCAGAAGTGTTGCCACCGCTACGCAGGAGGGCCCAGGGGACGGAAGGACAGCTAAACATTATGTCGGTTCGTTTTTGGTTTCAATTTATAGCTTTTCTTTTGAAGATTAGGAAGACTTTCCAAATTATTCGACGCTTATTCGATGAAAGATCATTAAATATTGAGATTTTTAGATTTTGATGTCCTACGTGATGACAGCATCATTTGATGGTGACAAAGGTGACGACCCAATACTTTCTACAAATTTTCACTTGATCAAAGGGTTCACCGACACGATTGTTTCACTGGCTGATGAAATACAAAGGACCGAAAGCCCCGCCAGATCAGCTGATCGTTTAATTAGTGAAAAGTGGCCCATTATACATTTTTACAGAATTAATGGTGTACTAGAGGAATTTGAATTAGACGCACAAAATCTAAAGCATGTGCCTCTCAAGACGCGGAAGGTTAGGGTAACACCTTAAAAGAAAAAGTAGTTTCTTTCAGTTAGTTCTTCATCCTTACAGTTCTGAAACTTTTACTGCTAGGTATTTTTTAAAATATGGGTTTTGACAGGTTTGTTAATCTTTTTAAGTTGTCATATTTCCAAAGACCACCAACATAAAGGCCAAAGTTTTTTTGTTGAGGGGGGGAGGGGGAAGGAGCACATTCGTACTTGGCGTTTAGAAGGTAGGAAGCGAGAGATTTTACTTTAGAATTTTCTGGGAAGGGATCAGAGAAAAATATTATTCCCAAGGGAACTGTTTTGAAGTTCTCAAAAACGTTTGACAGTGGCGACTAGTAGAGCTGCGTCTTGTCACTGGAGAATTTCTGACTAGTCGATGGAGGTAAATATGAGTGCCTAGAACCTGAAATGTATTGTTTAATGTCTTCACTCTCGAGTCAAAGAGCTCTAAAGGAGAAGGAGGTTGGGTGTTGTTGATTTACTGGTGTTTACGACTTTGTTACCTTTCTGTTCTATGCGGTATTTCTTTTAAAGAGCAGCTTGTAAGTTTTGCTGAGGTATTTGTACGTTTCGAGACATTGGATTTGTCTTATTTTAGTCACCAAAATATTTATTAGATTTCGTCTTGATGTACTAATTCGTATGGCTATTAGGTTTTGTGCGTCTAGTTTACTCGTGTCTTCATTTTAACTGTGGTTGCCTTTAATTGTTTTAATTTGTTTTTATTACTTCAGGGGACTAATGAAACTAATTGTTAAAAAAGCTGTTAAATACTTAACATCACTGAAGGAGCTTTCTGGAATTTCATTTGCTAAAGCGGCGACTTATGTTAACAAACACATTGACGAAATTTCCACCAATTTCGTCAATCTCAAAAGTTTTCGATGGGAACAGGTAGTTCTCAACTTGTTATTTGCATGCTTCTTCGACTATTAGTTCTTTTTTGTTCGGGGAAGTTATAGGAAAGCGTTTAGAAACGAGCGAGGGAGGCTTATACTGACACTCACATTCTTGCATTTGCTTTGCGTGATAGATTGGTTTGCTTGGATATCTTCAGCGATATTGGTCCAGTTTCTCCACTTTTCAAGTTTGTTTTTTTCTTGGGGAATGGGAGGAAGTGTAGGTATCGAGTGAAAAAAGTATTCTTTTTCGTTAGAGTCTGTGCTAGTAGGATTATTATAAATATGTATTTTGCAGAACTCCAACTGTAGTTTCTTCGAAAGAAGGTCGGAAGAAAGTCGCGATTAGTGATGGTGACAGCAATCCAAAGGCATGTAAGAGAGGAGCAAGGAAAGGAATTTCATTTAGCGAACGGTCTTTTGTTTGATATAATTTTTTTTTGTCTAATTCGCTTGTGTTCAAGGTGGCTTCAAAGCAGTTACTTTCTGTTGCTCGTATTTCTTCGCATGTTTCGCTGAAAATCTTTTTTTCTACCTTCAATTTTCTTTTTTAAAGTACTTTTCAGATCTTTAAAAAGTGCTGAAGGGGAAAGAAATGAGGAAGTAGCTAACACGGAATTGTGTGGTGTTTCTGCGTCTGAATATTCTGTCAACTCTTCCAATGCCTCACTCGGAAGTAATTTGCGATCGACTGTTTCTGTCACAACGGCATCCTTCTTGGAAGATTCTGGAATTGTGCTTGACGAAAGTCTTGATGAAAACAAAGAGAATTTGGATCCAAACGCTGTCGTTTTTATTGAAGACGAAAAAAAGGTACTTTTCTGATGAAAGGAAGATGTTAGCTTCTTTCTTTTCCGATTGAATTTTGATATACTGGATATTCTATACTTTTCAGAAGGATTTCTTCGGTTCAAAAAAACGAGGGCTCTTTAAGTTGGTGAGTTTAGAGAATAGAACCTCTCAAGGCAAGAAGGCTAATGTAATTCTCGGCTCGAAGAAGCCGTCGTGTGTTTCCAAGCGAAAAGCAAAAGTTAAGCCAGTGGAGGCTGGTCAAACTCATTTACTACGGTTTTTTAGAAATTCATCATCAGAATAATGGTTGTTTTCTAAGTGTCTAAGTGGACATTTGGTCTTCTTGGAACTTATTTTATTTGGCCAATGTTTAAGTGTTTGTACTTTTGTCTGTCTGTAACTTCACTTTTTTGAACCGGGATGAAAGCTCTGTGAGGCATCTTTAAAACTTCGGAAAGAATGGTATTTTCAAAAGAGCAGGCTGTCATGTTTCCTAAATGAAGTCGTCAGGAGGAGCACTATGTGTGATCTTGAAGTAATGATGTTTTTTTCATTTGGGCTGTATTACTGGTTTGACACTCTACGCTCAAAATTAGTTTTATCCTTCAAGACTTACCGGCTTGGATTCGTTTGATTATTGTATTATTGGTGCTGTAAAACTACTATCTTGCTACATTTTACTAGTATTATTGCATAAACTAATAGAACAGTATCCTATTTGCGGGGTGTGGCCGATATTCGATGGTTTACCATGTAATTAATTGCAGCTGTCATCTATAATTCTTCATTTTTTTGATAATTTAATTGTTTTTCTTGTATTTTAGTGAAAATTAGATCAAAACTTTTCTTTTGACCCTGCAACTGCCGCATTATTGACATTTTCCAGCCAAGTTCTCTGGTATGCCCGATTCACAGCGTCTGAGCTACTTAAACAACACTTTTGCAAGCTGAGGAGCCATCGTTTTCATCCATAGTTTATTAGCTGGTGGCATTTGGTGGTGAGGACGCAAATCTGGGATAGCTGTTCACCCGAAGGAGTTTTACAGTAAGCTGCCAATGAATCTGGTCTGGTTGAGGAACAGTTTTCATCTATTACTCTGCATTAGCTCTGCTCGTTTTTGGAGGTATCTCAGGTGTCAGCAGAAATCGTGGTATCATGCAGAGTTGTTGGGGAAGTTTAAAAGTGGGCTGTGGTCAGGTTAAGGTTGTGGTACTTTTTAGGTGGAGGAGGCCATGAATTGCGCAAGATTTACAGTGGTGGGTAAAATAACACAGTTGATCGCAAACTTGTGCAGCTGTTGTTGAACAACTACAACCTTCGCATTTACCATAATAGAAAAGCGCAGTGAGGTATCTAACAACATGACTGATAGTTCTGCAACTTTTTGTTACGAAACGGCTCACTTGCGTAGAGTGTGTTCTTTAACAGTAACGATTAATTGTCTGAAACAATGGACAGGTACTATATCTTATTTTCAGGTTCGTTTCGAACTATTTCAAACTGATTTGACTAATTTATTTTCATTTGTAGAAGTGGTTTCTTTGCTTGCTAGTTCTGAAATAATCTCTGAGATGAAGCGCCGAGTGATGAGCACTAAATTGGAAGTTCAAGTTCTTCAAAGTTCTGAAGAGTATAGGTAGAGATTACAGTTTATGTACACATTTATGAAAGCAGAATTGAGCACTGTAATAAGAAGGCTGCAAATCAAGCGCATGACCAAAGGTTACAAAGGATTCGGGAAACGCCAAGGTTTTGTTCTTCATTTTCATCGCTGCTATCATAGAGGAAAGCTTCTACTTCTTCGCGTTTTTCTTGCACTTTGTTGACCATCTCATTAAGTGCCGCCATACAGTTCAAGTTTGTTTTGGCGCTAAAACTGGTGCTGGTATTTTACAGTTTAATTGGTTTTTTTGAAGTGAGTGAACTTCCAAGTTATATATTACCTGGTTTCAAAAAGAGATAGTCCGTATTTGAGTGAAAAATTTTCAGCTTCTTCGTACGTAACACTTCGGAGACGTTTCAGGTCGCTTTTGCAACCGATAAGCATCACATCGCAGTCTGGTGGAATCAGCTGTGTGAGAACATTGATGATGTCTGGTAGACATTTAAAAGAGACGTTGTTAGTGACATCATACAATGCGAATACTCCAGAAGCATCGATGAAGTCAGAAGTCTAAAAACAGCGCTTTTTCCTGGTTTGTTGAGGAGCCTGTAATAAGTGGTTGGGATTTTTTTGTGTTTTCGCTGCTATCTAATCAGTTTGAATATTGGGACACGATGGAAAGAATCTTTAGACTGTTGCAGTTTTGTGACGCATGCCTCAAAACATGCTTTTTTGGCTGTCAAATAATCTCTACTCTTCGTGTATAAAGTCTTTTACGTTATTTTATTTGCCTTTAGCAGCCAAAAACATTCTAGTTACTTTTTTATAATTCTCCAGAAAATAACCCAAAATTCTCGTCTCAATTCTTAGGCCTTTTCATAATATTGCTCTACTAATGACATCTGGTGCAGTTTTTAGGAGCTGTGGCTTGCAAACCCAGTCATAGAAGTATGAAAGATTCAAGTCCGTTTCTGTTCAATCTCTTTTTTATAGATTTCCGGTCTCTTAATCATTTTTGAATTGGTCTAAAAACAGTTACTGATTCAAAACCTTTTAAATGTGCAAAGTCATCTAGCTGATCTGCCGTATGTGATAAGCAGAGGAATTAGCGGAAGTAGATTTCCAGAAGTGGGGATACGAGTTTTGAAGGATTTTTTTTATTGAGTTTATTTGCCAAGCTTGGGAATAAGTTTAAGCACAGAATTTAAAATTATTGTGATCAGACTCTTGTTTTTCATTCTTCTGCTAAAAAGTCTGTATTATGAGGACGGCGGGCCGAAATAAACGCTGCAGGAAAAAAGAGCAAGACAAAAAAAATTAAAGCTCAAGTTAAACTGGATCCAACGCTGTACGGTTACGAAAAGCAGCTACCGTTTGTTACACCAGATATCATGAGGGGTGCTGTGTTGCAAACATGCATAGAGAGCAAGATAGGACTAGCATTAGATTCTTAAGAGGTTAGGAAGAAGTAAGCAGGAAAGCAAAGGGTCAAAAATAATTAAGGCTGAGTCAGCAATTGTATATACAAAAAAAATGGAGGTAGTTTATGGATAAAAAAATTAAGCAATTACTTCAAATTTAGAGGTTAGATGCGCTTAGTCTTAATAGTGCTTTTTTAAACAACTTTGTTTTTGTTAAACTGAGTTAGCAAAAATTTTTAAACAAGAGAGCTGTTGGGTTACTTGTGGCGCTAATTCGGTGTTGGTGATGTTGTCTCTCGGATTTCTAGCGTTCTTTGCTGCGTCATACAAATCTTCAATGGCTGAAAGTGTTAAAGAAGTCAAACTTTGTAAACTTCTTATGACGTTTCTTACGAAAAAATATGAGTTGTTGATATAAATGAAATCTTATTTGATTTTGGTTCTTCTAAAGGGTAGTCTTAAAATTGGAAGGCGCTGCGAATTTTATATTCTTACAGCTACCACACAGTCAAGTATTATGCCTTAAATAAAAAATTAGAAAAATCTCTAAAATTTTCCTGAAAATGTGAGGTTTTGAACCCGCTATCATAATCGTTTTTACTTTTGCTATTTCGTCTACTCCTATCTAAAGCTAAAATTATTTCTTTAAACGGGATACGTTAGTGATGTCAAAACTAAACTTTTTTTGACAGTTTATCTTATCAATGCTGGAGGCAAAGAATACCAATGTCCATCAATTCAGCTATTACAAAGGCTCCATCTTCTGTCGTTAACTGTATTACCTGTAAAAGTTAAAAGGGAAGAAAGTTGTTGGAAAGTGTGTCGGTTTCAGTGAGTGAGTCGGTTTCAAAACCGAGATTAAGGAAGCTCTAATGGCTCTTGAATGTCATCATTTTGTTTCTTTTTTTCTTTTTTTTTAATTTCTTTTTTTCTTTTTGAAATCAATTTCTCAGTGACTCAGATAGCTGTTTTGTGGCTCACAATCATTTCAATGCAAATGTACACCTTTGCCAAATATTTGCAAAGTAGTTAAACAGTTTTTTACTTTCTTTTAGGGCTGAAGAAGAAGTAATTTTTTAGATATGATGCAGGAAGTGAATTGCTTGAATGTCATTTTGAAAAAATTTTGGTATATACATTGCATGAACGTTTTTTAATTGGCCATATTCTCGCTCGGGAAATTTCTGCTTATTAACTACATATTTTGTGGGATGCAAAGGCTGGGTGGCGAGTTTGTTTGTGTTTTATTGGAAGCGGTCGAAGCATCGTACCTTGGTATATTGACTCAGATAAAACTTAAATTTTTTAGTCAATGAAGCATCATTTGAGGGGAGGTAGATGCAAAAAGCTTTGTTAGTGTGGAAGAAATTTGAAAATGTTCAAATTTCAAGTTTTTAATGTCTTTATTTTATCTCTTATTAAAGCTTTTACAGTGGGGTGGTATAGACAACGTTTTAGAATAAAATATTTTCTATCTACTAACTATCTTTAATACTTATTTAGCTGCCTGATGTGGTAACACTAGTGCCGCCAGTCAAAGCTTCTACAATTGAAAGTAAGATGCTTTTTATTACATTAGTGCTGATTTAGGAGATCCGTAGCAAAAAAAGGTTTAGCACGCGCTTAAGCATCTTTTTCAGCTAAATTCTATCTTGACTTTAGAAAACAATAATACTGATTTATTTTGCCGACAAGTGTATAATACCGAGCGTTTTTGAGGGAATGCACATTGTAAAAGTGTCAGCGTGAATTCGACTGGCATTCTCTTGGTTTTAAGTTAACTATCTTGTGTGGATGCCACTCCTCAATTACTGAAAAATTCTTTATCTTCCTTTCCTAGAAAAAGTGTGGTGGGTTTGAAGACGACAACCGAGTTTGGCAGGATAAAAGATTGGGACTGACAACCTAGTACAATAGCATTACATTGGATATTGTTCTGCTAATACTCCGTGTTGACTTTTATTATCTCAAAAAAGTTTAAACATGGCACTGCGTATGGAACCAATTTTTTGTAAAAATTTTTGTAGTTATTTTTCGTTGGTCTATAAGGTTATATTACAAAACATTACGTATTTTGAATACATTTCCAGGACTTATCTTTAGAGTTTTCTAATTACTGTAAAATAAAGTTACTTTACTAACAGCGGGGTAAAGTATATGCTTTTTTGTTTTATTGTTTTTTTGGGTCATTTTTAGTTCCCTCTTAAACGCGGTTTTTGGTAATATAGTCAGAAATTTCTTCACTGCAAATATTCTGCGGAGGGTTCTAATTTATTTGTTATTTTAGTTACAGCTTAGCTTATTTCCCCTTTCTGCAGACTTCTGCATTTTTCAGAAAGCTTTTGTCATTTATTATTATTGCTGTAACCTCTTTGGCTACAGGAAGATATCTTCTTTGTTATTTTTTAGCTACATTTGGGGCAAGTACATCAGCCTCTTGTGTCTATCAATCTGGGACAATAATCAAAAGGTAAAATAATTTCCGTTTGATTTTTAGATTTTGAAGAAACTTGTAAAAATGAGGTCACATATGAGTTTTTCGACAAGTGATGAAAAGCTTCTCAAAAACATTTTTTAAAGAATGATTTCAATTTATTAAATTTCAATGACAAAGAGCTTCTTAATTTAGTTTTAAAGTTATGGAATGTTTTCATAATTGTTTACAGCAATTCAAAACAAGTTTGAAAAGGAAATCAAGGATGCAACCTTTAGTTTAGGATTTTATTTGAGGCTACTTCAAATTTTCTTGCAATATTTTTCTTAACACTAAGCAGCGATTGGAGGACTCCAGCTTTAGCTAGAAGAATTTTGCACGAGTGTTACACTTTATAACTGCTTTGGAGACAGTTTATTGACAGAAATTTGTGGGAGCAGTAGCAGTGCGTAATTTTTGAGAAAGATGTGGATGCAGTTAAAGCTATGTAGAGGGGAATTTGAATAAGGGCTATGGAAGAGGTTTGTGTTGGAGAACAGAAATGCATTAGCCGGTGTTAAAGAAAGTCGAAAGTATACTGAACTTATTATCGGATCACGTTTTCAAAAACTGTCAATTTTTTTGAATTGACGTCGCATTTAATCGCTATTCTTTTAAACCGTTTTTTAAAAGCTCAGTCTTAAGCTTTTCTAATGAAAGTAAAGAAAAAACAAAGGTGAACCAGTAAATTAAGCGCTAACTAGAATAAAATTTTATAAAAAAATAAAAAATTTACCTCTTTCTGACGACTTTCATTTGGAGCTACTGTATCGCAAAAATCTTTTTTTTCAAGCCGCCTGATAAGTGCTGTTTTTCCACAACCTTTTGATCCGACCACAAGTAATTTAAAGCGTCTTCGAGCAAACTGTAAACTGCATGTATTCTTATTTAGCATAATTTTTATTTCTTTATATTTTTACAGGTTTTTCAGTTTTTATACATACTTAAATCCAACTAGTGGTCTAAAAACATCTGCGATTTTTTTTTCTGTTCAGTTCGGAAGTTAATAGTCAGCGATTAAAATTGTTATATATGGGTTTTAACTGTATTGGTAAAGACATTTGTTTTAGCCATAAGGTTAGCGAATCTATAACAACTTTTAAACAGATTTTGCAGGGCAAAACACAGAATTTTTAGGGGAAATAGTATTATCTAAAAGTGCATCTTCTTTTTGCTGTTGCGAGGAACCTAATCAAATTTAGCGCAATTTAGGCAGTAAGGGAGAAACAAGTTTAAATGAAGCATATTGAAATTTGTTTTAAAATTTTTAGCTGACATTCATCGCAACAAAGTAATGTGCCAAGTAAAAGGTTAAGAGTTAACATTGGCTTATAGAAAAGGATTTAGCTTAATTTTTTTTGAAAATTTGCTGGATTATAAGAAAAGAACTTAATTCAAATTTTGACACTTTCCTTATGATCAAATTCTTTCTGACACTATTATATGTTGTGAACCTGCTAAATTACTTAAAATTATTAGATCAAATTTTACGCAAATTATTTCACACAGCAACTTTGCTTTACCGCTTTGGTTCTCTACAAGACCGCATTTTGCAAAATTTGGTTTAATTTCTGAAAGAAAATAAACAGTTTTTTTTTCATGAATAAATTCTGTTTGTTAAAGTGAGTGGTGTTGTGAGAAGAGGACGTACATTGTATA